ATTATCTAATAGGTTTTATTTGTCTGTGTCTGTTCGTAATCTAATAATTTAATTTTCGAATATCGTACGTGGTTGCATTATTACGCCATTTTAACTAAATTTATTTTGTAATAAACTGCAACAACAAAAAATTTCATTTTTAGAAAATAAATTAACAATAAATGAGTACTTATTGAATTCTTATAAATAAATTAGTAATAAATGAATACTTACAAATGAGTAAAAATTTCGTTTTAGTTTGAATCTATTGTGCCTATTTTTTAAATTTGATTCTGCCAGCATGGCAGTCAGCCAGCAACACCACAGTTATTTCATAAACGGCAGGAGTAGTAAATTTAATTTTTGGATAATTAATTAGTAATAAATGAATACTGAATTTTCCCTTTTTTATATGATTGTTCAATAGTGGTTGTGCCAGCCGGACACACCCAGAGATATGTAGGAGAAAGTGTCGTCATATGAAGTTTTTAGTTTTCATTCTCTTCCGATCGCCATCGATGGACAAAGACACGTCGGCTGTTTTGGTATTATCCGCGCACGTTTTCTTTCGTTTCACTAGATGTGACTGGGGTGGGGCTTTGTTTTTTTTTAGAGACAGAATAATTATATCAAACCTGTAGCTCGTTTTTTCAATGTAAAGCAATTTCTATTATATAGGAACGAACATTTCTAATAATGAGATTTTGTGAACAACGCTCGTGGCTATAATTACTCTTAATTCAACTGTTGTTGGTAAAGGAGTGGGGTAGGTATTCAAGGGCTGAAGAAAACTTAAAGTATAATACGGTCGCCGTCAGTTATGATGCGTCATGTTAGGATCGTGAATATTATTTCAATCAGAGGGATGTGTGTAATGCGGAATTGAATCCGATATTCTCAGAGTTTGAATATCAGTAATCTGAAGTAAATCTAATCTAAAATAGTTAAAAGTCTTTTTGAATGTTAATTGAAATATGAAATAGATTTTATATTCGGAACGAAATTTAGGATAGGGAAGAATCTTAGACGTTTATTGAATTTAACAATTCGTGTTGAACGTAGGTAGTGGCGAGTAGATACTCATACGTGGTGTAGAATATGGAAAGTTCGTGGATGCGTGATAATTTAATATAATTATTGCTCGAACCGGTCACGAACTAACAACTTTCGGTTGTCATTCTTAACCAGAAATTGATGTTGGGAGAGAATACTGTAGGCGCAACAGGAATATGAACATCAAATAGGCAGCATCAAGAAAGAAGACGTGGTGTAGGTTTCAACCGGAGTGGAACCGAGAACTCACCAATACGCGCGAAGATCTCAGTAAGCCACGAACTTTGATTTTGACCTGTACAGAAAGGATGATTCTTTTATAAAGGGGAAATAACATTATTTTGAATCAATGAGCTCATTTATAGTGCTCATGATTGCGACTGTATTACTCGCGCAACTTTTCTTCAACGATGGATTGAAGAAATATAGGTAGAGTGGGGCCAATCTCTGGAGAATCAGTCTTGCCTTCGCAACTTTCTCAATAATGTGCGTTCTAACTTACTCAGGAGTTCGAGCTATCTCCTGTGATGGATCTTCACCTGCTTCGGTCATTTCTTTGGATTTTTTTGGAGAACATTACGCACAGAAGTTCTCGTCTTCAACAGAAAATAGTTTCTATTTCGCGTCAGTGAAAACGTGATTGGAATGTTGTCATCAGTGCATCCGGCGAGATTTTGTCTTTAATTGTTTATTGTGTCAGGGAGGGGTAAGTATGGTCATCGTTCATGAAACGTTGTGCGGGTAATATCAAGCACGACTTGATACGGTCGCAACATCTGGGGGCACGACCGAGAAACATGAAGTGACAAAATGCCACCGTGAAGACGGGCCTTGAGGTGCAGTCATAAAAATGGCACTATAAGGGTGTAAATCAAATTTGTAAGGGTGCAAATCAATAAATGTTAATTTATTTTATTGGAACAAGACTGATAATTTATAGTTAGTTGCCATCAATTAAAAAAAAATTAACAGAACATCCAAATGTCGCGATTCTGTGTAGATAACACGTCCCCGTATAACAGGTAAGAACATGAATTAATTGAATATTAATAGAGAGATTTATTGGGAACATTACAGTATTGTCATTATCTTTTATATTTCGTGTCACAGTCGCCAGTGCCGAAAGAATGTTTTCAAAATTAAAGCTGATTAAAAATTAATTATGAAGTGCATTGACACCAGACTATCTGCGTAATTTAAATATTTTATTAACTGAGCATGAAAAACCATGTTGTTAAAAATCATATTGATACTGACATTGACAAATTTGTAAATGCAAAGAAAATACCAAAATTTAAATTATAAAATGAAATTACAAAAATAGTAATTTATTTTGTGTAACAATTTATTGTAATAAATATTTCACTTCTAAAATTCAGTTTATAATCACAAAATTAAATTAATGACATGTCTTTAATTAGGGATCCCCCGTATTGTATTGGTTCAAGGGCCTTTTCTATTGAACTTACGCCACTGATAAAATATTGAATATCATGTAATACAATCTAAAATATAATATATGTGCAATATATACAATCTCACATTTAATTTTTTAAATATTTTTTCATATTATATGTAAGTACGTAATTGTGAATATGCGTATGTAAGAACCGTAAACTGGTGAAATTTTGCCAGATTTTGAAAGTTATGTTGTTGGTCATCCTGTCATCCAATAAACAAATGGAGGCATCAATGGCTTTTTTTGCATTGACAAGTCATTGAAAAATAGTTTTCTCGCTCATTTTCATCCTTATCACTTGTTTGCTGGTATTCATTAGAACTTTTTTGTTTTTGACTTCTAGGACAGGATCTTTTGATATTCTACAAAAGTGTCTCACCGTGAGCACTCAGTAAAAAGGAAATAAAAACTATTTTAACTTTATAATTCCCTCAGAGCCATTATTTGAAGTTAATTTTACTGTGTATTTAGATGTTATATTGTAACTGTTGTTGCACCAGAAAACGGTGAAAATAGGGCAAATTTACAATTTAGAATTCCGATATTTTTCTCATATTCTTTCATAATGTTTTTTCAAATTGTGTATTTTTCTTCTTTGTGCATGGTAGTTTACATTTACTGTGATTTATCATTCTTAGAAGTAAATATTTTTCATAATTTTGAATTATTAGCTAAAAAGTAAATGATAAATCTTTCCATAAATACATAAAATTATTCAGGCGCGGAATCAAGAGGGGGGGAGATGACCTAAATTCCCTCCCCCAAAACCTTTGCAGTAACTATTCATTTTAACTTGTCTAGAACTTTCAAGTAAAAATATTTTAGATTAACCATGAATAAAATTGTATCGCAGCATTAGCTGAGTTCAGAATGCGTTATTCTACATAATATGTAATATGACATATTTGACCAAAACCATTTGAATAAAAAACTATCATAATTTACCGACCATACTCGACTCTCATTCGGGAATTGATATAGCATTTATAGAATGGGGAAATACAATAACTGGTGGGAAGAATTTGATTCTCAAAACCGACAAAAATGATCAGTAAAATACCCTTAAAATATTTTTAAAATGCCTTAAAAGCAAAGAAAATGATCACTCAGACGTAATTTTTTTTATCAAAACAAAGTCAGATACGTAACTTAAGCTGTTGGATATTTTACTGAGGTAATCGCAGTGGCGGATCGTGGGGGGAACATGCCCCCCCCCCAAAAAAATGGCCTAGAGAAAAGAATTAAAATAGTACAAGTGCAGGAAAATGAAAATGAGAAACGCGTGACATAGAAACGTTTAAATTTATCGATAAAGTAGCCGCGCGTGGTTTTTTTTATAAGCCTTTTACGAGAAGTTGCGAATGGGAATCCTGATTCTCGCTTATTATATCGCAGTGGAAGGTATGAAAACTATCTTCGACTTCTCCAGAGGCGTGTGATACTTCGCATCTCTCTCATACTCTGCTTGACAAGCGGCGCTATGGCGACTTCCACGTATTGGAATGAGGCCGATGCAACTGGAAACAGTGTTGATAGAGTAAAGTCTCTCTCCTGGTGCTGAGTGAGTGATCGTGGGCCGTGTGTCATTTCGCGCAATGTTTATTATATTACAATGACGCATTGTAAGCAGTTTTCTGTTTTTTGATCGATAATTCTAATTTCTTGCTCAGTCCCGTCCACTAGTCCGAAACTGAACTCGGCTAAAGGCAACGCCAAACGACCAATTGCATATATCTTTTTCCTGAAGTTCAGAGCGGACTGCAGAACAAGTCTCACTCTTCTATAATACTCCCTGCTGTCTCTCTCTTTCTCTGTGATTCGAGATGTTCTCACATACTGCAACGCCCGGATTATTGTAAGATTTACCTGGCTCAAGATCTTTAATCACAGTGTGTATATCAACATCAATGCTCTCTGACATTATCTTTATGCCTATCTTTAAATTGACTTTTACACCTGACAAGACCAAATTTCATGCATTATACCATTGCTAAAATCATTGACCGTCCATTTGGGAGAGAATCGCTTCGTTCTTAGCAAATACTTGAAAATCATCCATGTGCAAACCATGATACTGGTCTTTCATCAATATTGTTGTTATTACTATTATTATTATCATCGATACCGTGATAACATAGATAACGATATTTTGTAGTAATGTAAACGAAATAACTATATTCTCTTCAACAAAACCCAGAGCTCAAGAAAACATGTGCAAATCGTGCTCTTATAATCAGAAGAAAGGAAAGGGCCCATCTCAGTATTTGCTGAATGGATCAATGGAAAGAGTACAAAAAAATATGGTCGTTCACTATATTATATAATTATAATGTATTAATATGTAATATTTATTATATTATAATATTGAATTATCTATTGTTTATTAAATATTTTAATTATCAAATAATTATTAGCCGGTTGTAATAATGTAACATTTTAAGTGGCCCTTCTTTTGACTCTGTTTTGACTGTATCTTGTTACCTAAATCCGTTAGTGCACTTTTTCTTGTATGCCTTCAGGTGAAGGAAGCAGCTTCAACGACAACGGCAACGATGAAATCGTTTACAAATTCGATGCAGACGACAAATTAATACTGTGGGACCACGATGGCTGCGCTCTCTATGACTTTTGTTCAATGTCATCATATGAAGAAAAGAGTGCCATTAACAGCAGTTATAGCATGCCATCAGACGAAGAAAGGAGTGCCATTAACAGCAGTTATAGCATGCCTTCAGACGAAGAAAGGAGTGCAATTAGCAGTAGCTGCAGCAGTTATAGCGTGTCATCAGGTGAAGAGAGAAGTGTTATTCACAGCAATTGTAGCATACCATCAGGTGAAGAAAGGAGTTCCATTAACATCAGTTGTATCATGCCATCAGATGAAGAAAGGAGTGCCATTAACAGCAGTTATAGCATGCCATCAGATGAAAGGAGTGCCATTAACAGTAGCTACAGCATTTATAGAGTGTCATCAGGTGAAGAGAGATGTGCTATTCACAGCAATTGTAGCATGTCATCAGCTGAAGAAGGGACTGTCATTAACAGCAATTGCAACAGCAGCAGCAACTACGATAGAAATGTTGGGGACATCTACAGACTCGAAACAGTTGCCGAATTGGTCCCGTGGAACCAAGGCGATTACAGTCGCTCTAACTCTCTCATGCTTTCATTATCTGTAGGAAACACTAACAACAGCGGAAGCCTCTACAACATCGAAACAGACCCCAAACTGGTATCTTGGAAAGAGATTGGCGGTGACGGCCAAACCCCGCGAGGCGAGTATTCTTGCATCCTCTGCAGCAAACGCTTCGCCTCGAATTACTACCTCAAGCTGCACTACCGCTCACACAGCGGGCAAAAGTTCGCGTGCGCCATTTGCGACAAGGAGATGACCACCAAATCCAGCCTGGCGCAGCACATGCGCACCCACACTGGCGAAAAACCGTTCAAATGCGTGGTGTGCGACCGGTCTTTCGCCACCAGCCAGCGCCTCCGGGAACACGAGAGGACGCACACCGGCGAAAGACCGTACGAGTGCTTTCAATGCAAGAAGTGCTTCGCTCAGAGCGGCGCCTTGGCGCAGCACCTCCGGACGCACACCGGGCAGAAGCCGTATCCTTGCCTGTTGTGCGACAAGCGCTTCGGAACCAAGACGTCGCTGGATCGGCATGTGCAGTCCCACCGCGGGGAAAAACCGTTCGAATGCGGCGAGTGCGGAAGGCAGTTTTCCAGCAAGCAGAGGCTCGTGTGCCACATGAAGAAGCATGCTGGCAGCGCGTCCGGCCTGTCTACGAACATTGGGTAAAAAGAAGTGAATTATTTGAATAAAATCCGCATACCATTGCCATGCCGGTACCCGAAGAATACCAATGGGTGTTAATTCTGGACCCCAGAATAAAATGCATCATAATTGAAGGATTTTAAAAATATTTAAGAACTAATAATACATACAATAATTTATTGTATATATAATATTAACGCTAATTTATTTACAATATATAAAATATAATAATTTTCTCTACGATTGTGTGAAAATATTTTACATTTTTGTGGTACGCAAGGGCAATTTTTTAAAACTTTTTTGCTTGTGAGTGCTCTTTGCTGTCTGGGATACGCCGTGTCGCAGGCTGTGATGCAGACGTTACGGACATCTTGTCGTAGGCTCGCCTGCCTGCAGACCCCAGTTCTGAGAACATCACAACACGGTAATCAAAATATGGGATAACAGCCTGCGGTGCGACGTCACACATAGCATTTACAAGATTCTAGCTACGAAAGCCTACGACGTCATTTTTTGTACTTGCAGCCCTTCCCGCAGCGACAGAATACTTTTTTGTTTTGAAAACTAGTTCGACGTTGAGAAAGTTGCTCCGATTGCATAGCTTTTCTACGTCTACTACGATACCAAAATTTGATGGTGATTATGGCTATAAGTGAACGCTGAAGTTTACTGTAAGAGAACGATGATTATGCATGACGACGGTTCCAATTTTTTGAAAATATCCTATTAGTGTTGAAAGGAAGAATAGAAACTATGGGTTTAGAGAGATTATAATAATAAAAGTCCTAAAAGATTAATCAAAAGATAAATCAACTAATAACAAAAGTCCTTAAAGGTTAATCAAACTATAACTCCTTATATAAACAAAAAAATTGGAAAAAATGAATCAGTCCATCATTGCTCATTCCCCTATTGGTATGCGGCTGTTAACGGTCAATTCCTCAACACGGAATATAACTTATGGCTACTTCCTAAGCATACACTAATGCTTCAACGCTGGATGCCTAGATGAACGCGGTCAGGCGAAATCCTTTTATGTCTATTTGGAGGTTTCCGTCTTTAAACGTTGAGGAATTATCCTGATTGTGGCAGGATTTCGTTTCTCCAGCCCTAGATATCGAGAGATTATCCTCTCTTCGACGGTATCCCATCTTTGTCGTCGCGTTCCTATTCAATTTAAAAAAAATAAAGTTGTTGCGTCTTCAGTTGACACAATGGGTCTCCAAGCACCTTGGAGGTATTGAGAGCTTTAGGAGTAATCCTCCATTGATATTTAAATGTCATATTCGTCATGCCTCGTCGCAGTCAGTTGTCAAGAGGACCGCCAGGTAGCATCTCCGCGTACGTGCCTCCTACTACGCGCCCCTGCGTCACTACTCAGCGGCCAGAATTGGGAAGGAATTAGGATAGGAGTAGGATTTAGGACACTTCACAGGGGTTGTATTAGCCCTTGTGAAGCAGTCAAACTAGTTTTGTTGAAACAAATTTCAGATGAGATTGTCCGGGATTCGACGAGAATCGAACCCGGGCCTCCTGGGTGAAACGCGAGCGACTTCGCTGGGCCACCAGGTAACTTCGGTTTTTCGCGGGTTTCCGTTCCTAGATGTCAAGTGGTTGTCTGTTTTGTGTTAGGATGCAGTTTTCTAGAGCAACAATTCAATACTTATCTTTGAACTATTTACAAATAATTATTTAAAAGCTCTAGTCACTTTTACAAGCAGCTGTTTCTATTCTACAGGTGTAATAAATGATTGAATTTGACTAGAGACTGGCACGAACATATTACATTAATTCAATGAAGATAATCAATAAATAACAAAACCACTACTACTGGGTGTGAAATTGCAAAGAGAGACTTGGTGACAGGAGTACAGTGACCAGGATGCACACATTCTTGCCATAATAGAAGAATGCGAATACTAACGCAATAAATCATACCAATATGTAAAAGTAAATACAATTATTCATAGATTACTTTCTGCAGGAATCATTGGACGAGGGTTACACTAGTTTTGATAATTAATGTAAGTAATGATTGATTAATTTTTTCGACGCTTTTATTTCACAGTGCCTTGTTGCACGTTATCCACTGAAGTAGACTTTTTCCTGCTCTTGTAGTTTATAGTGAACACAAGGTGTTAGTAACTATTTGATAATTACTATTTGATAGTTTAAAAATATACCACGAGAGAGCTGATATTACACATATTTTTTTAATTAGCCAGTGTTTGTGACTCAGCATAAAAATGATAGATTTTCGCCAGGCAGTAAGTAGCCTATTTTTCTCTTTTGTATTATTATTCATTTATCGCTTATTTTTTGTATTATATTACGTAATACTTTAAAGATATAATTGTAGAATCGGAAGATGTTTAACAAATTGAAAATATTTTAATCCATTATGAAAATTTTGAAACGTAAATTCGGAAGTCTGCACAGTGTACATCATGCATTCGTGTGTATCTGAATGTAATCAAACTTTTTTCATAGATATTTTTAAGTATTACAGTAAAGCATAAATACTTGATTTCTTTGAGAAAAATGACGCAGATTTGTCATCAGATAATGATCTGGATAAAGATAATGTCCTGCAGTTTGTTTTTCATGGTCACTTTCTAGAGACTGAAAACATTCTGAAATACAATTAGTTTACTTTTATTTAGAAGTAATAAAATCTCTGGTAATGACGGTAAATGTAAAGACACAAGAAGAAATTGAAGAGCCACTAACTAAAAATAAAGTAACTTTCAAGCCTAATGAAGACATAAGATATGACGTTTATGGCTCTTATACATTAGAAAGGACGTGAAAGTGCACAAAGGAGCAAATATTAGGAGTGTACAAGGAGAACCTAAGGAGGAAGTGCAATGTTTACATTGCTGCAGAACAAATGGTGCTTCAGTAAAATATAATTCCCAATCCAGGTATCAGCCTCAACCAGCCAAAAGAAAAGATCAAAGAACAATTAAACAACCAGAAAAGAGACAACGAGCAAAAATACTTCAATTCAATCTTCTTTTCAATGTACTAAATCACGTCCAATATACACTTCTTACAACATTCCAACAAAAAATAGTTTTGAAAATCTTTCATCTGCTCCTCAAGACAACATCGGAAAATATTCCAACTACTACTTATATTCCAGAGTTATTCACTTACAATTTGGACACCACTCCATCTTAATATCTACAATAACAGAAATTTTCTAACTTCAATAAAAAGGTTCAAGATCACTACACTAAAATTAAAGTATATTCAAAGAAGACTACTCTATACTTCGATATGAATTATCTAAGAAAAATATTACTTATCATACGTATTACGACCCAATAAAATCCACCATCTCTGTCATAATTCGAAATGTAGCAACATCCTACACTGACTAAGCATTAACTCAAGAACTACTTCGTCACAAATTGCTTATAATAACAGCGATTCAAGCAACTAATTCATCTAAACAACCTTGGCCATTAATTGCAGTCACTTCGTTTCGAATTTCTTCGTTTTTACTGCACGTTAGACTGAGCAGAAAGGTGCTGGGAATTGCCTGACAGCTCATAATACGCTAGCGGGAAAAAAGTATTTGCAACACCCCGATTGCATTGTACAATTTATTCATCAGATACAGCACATGCATACAGAATAATACACATGGTTATATGGGCAGAGCCATGTGATTCGCACGTCCAGCAACAGAGAGAACCATGGGAAGGAAACGCCATATTTCTTGTTGTTCTCTTCAGTTTTATATCTGCAACTTTCTAATTTTCTCTTTCTTTTATAAGTTTTAACGTGACCTCGCTGTTTAGTTTTATTGTCCTTGGTTTTTGCTAGTAAGGCTTTCTCTTCCGCTCTAACGATAGCATTTTCAATTTCTTTATATTGTTCTTGAAGCCCCATTACTTCATGGTTTTTTATGACATCCAGTGTTTTTTCAGCTCTTCCTGGTACTTAATAATGTAAAATGTATTTCTTGTAGGGAATTTTCTTCGTTGATAATTTCTTCTTCACCCTTAGCCAATTTCATTGTTACTTGGACCATTCTATGGTCGGTTATAAATTCTGGTATTGAGAAAATATCAAAATATATTATTCGTTGCAAGTGGTCAGTGAGTAAAGTCTATTTCGTTCCATCACGTGATCTTCAAGTCCATCTGTCCTACAGCGTTTTGTAGGAGTAGGTGTTCTTTAAATTTCCGAAATAGCCATCACAATATTTTTGCTGGCTGTAGGTGCCTGAGCTTCGACCTTAGGGGTTGGATGATGGTGAGCTGATGGGGTCCTGGCTCAGAGGCTAGAGGTGCTTCCACTCTCGACTCTTACCCGGTCCGCCGGTGGAGAAGCAGTTATGAGAAGAAGTCAAAGGATTCTTGACGCATAATAGGCGTGCTAGTGGAGAGCAGTGGAGCTTCCTCATACCATCTGTGGCGCTGTACCCCTTACTGTAACCACAAAACTGAGGGTCTCAGCTTGGGTGAGACGATAACTCACGCCGCCCGACTTCGGAACAAACGCCAGCGCATGAAATGGACTAAGGAATTTAATATCTCCGTTATGCATGCGTACGTTTTGGCTACCAGACTAGAAGTGGGCATGGAAGGATACAGGGCCCGATTTCGCGAAGAATGTTTAAAGCTGCATCTGAACATACCGGTAGCAGAGAGTGTGCGACCAGCAGCGCACCATCATTGTAAGGAACTGGACACTCTCTCAGCTTCAGATATAAATACCATTAGGGGGAAAGTAAGAGCATCATTGGGTATTCAGAAAAGGAATGAGATTGATGAAGGAAGAAATAATGAAGACCCACAAGAAAATAAGGAATGGTCTGTGGAGACGAAATCTGATGAATCCTGCCTCCCAGTGCCTGAGCAACTCTCTTGGACTGCGCATTATGGAGCCATGAAGTCTACTATCTTGGTATTTCATTATCCTGCAGACCATGAATCCCACGAGTGGGATGTGGTTGACTATACCAAGTCCTTCCACTCGATACCTAATCCGTGACTTTTGTATGTCCTTCC